TCGTTTCTGGGTATAAAGAGAAAACGCTGTATAACTTGATTAAAATTCTTTCACTTAAGAGAAAAACTAGGAAAAGAAAGACATCCAAGTAATCAATCGTTGAATAAATGCCACAAAAAAGAATTTTTTTTCTTATTATAAAGTTGTGAAAAACAACAACAAAAATTATACGTCTTTTTCTTGCTAATAAACTTTTTAAAAGACATAAAGAAGAATGTCACTTTGAATACAACTTTAGTTGTCATTTTTTCCCCAGTTCCTTCCCCTAAATACGTCATTAAAAAAAAAAATAATAAAACAAGGTAGCATGTCGTGCGCTTGAAAAAAAAAAAAAAATAGCGAAGGAACAAATGACCGTTTCAATATGAATGGAACGCTTAAGTCGTCTTTTTATTTTGTTTTGTTCTTTTTTTTTTTTTAACATTTTAAATATTTTTGCTTATCTCTCTTTATTTTTAAATACACTAACCAAGTGCTCAAATTATGTTTAAATGCAATCTTGTCTACTTCACTTGTGTACTATTAGCTGTTACTGTTATAGGCAAATGTTCAATGAGTCAGTTCAGTATTTATTTAGCATATTAACGCAGAGAGACTTACAGTTGTAGTATAGCTACCGTACATGTGAACATAAAAATCGTAGCAATAGTTATGATTACGTCCAAAGTTTGATCATATTATTCAATAAATTCATTGATCAGTATATTCATTCGTTCTAGAAATTGTCTAGTGGGGTTATAATCATAGTGGTAACAATGGCAATGTTGATTGGATTGGATAAAAGCGCAATTTCTCAACCGTTTAAATTGAAAAATTATAAAATTACTCTTGCCTGTAAATTTGAAGTACCAAAGGAAAAAAAAAAATTAGAGAAAAAGAAAAAAACAATTTCAGTTCAAGAACTCTAACAATTTTTACTGGATATTCTCGGTTACCATGAGCGTATAGCCTCTATACGCTTCATGCAAGACCGTTTTGACTTTGTCGTGTTCCATAGGCAGCCACCAACTTTGTCCATTTGCTTAAACTCCGCCCCCATGCAGTCCCCAAAGTAAAATGGTGTTTATGAAGAGAAAAATTTTAATGTCCTACCCTCTCTTTTTTTATTTTTCTTCTACAGACAACATTCGACGATGTAAATTGATTTGTCAATATATTGAAGCCCTTTTTTTCTTCTCAAGTTTTTTTTTGTTCATTTTTTTTTT